TTTTTTTTTTTTTTTTTTGGGTCGATGACACGTATTAAATGAGTACTTTAAATAAATCATGTCGGTATAAAACTCATTTCAAATAAGATTTCTAAACAACAAACGGAAAAAAAAAAAAGTTTTCATTGAAAATTAGTCGTATGTAAATTTGAATACGTAACGTCGAACTTTTCTTTGTGCTTTTTAAATTCAATTTTTACACGGATGGAGAAAGAGAGAAAAAAAAAATAAGTGACAAAGGTTGCCTTTGATTAAAACTCCTTTTCCCCTCCTCCCTTTTTTTTCCTCCTTTTTTTTCACGGTAATAAAATTTAAGTAAATAATAAAAGCGTGATACAATTTATATATGTACTTATTATTTTCCAGGTATAAAATATCAAAAAAAAAGGAAAAAAACAAACTAATAAGATATTTCTGACAATGTCAAAGGTTAAGAGATTCGAGAAAAATGAGTCAAGAAAAAAAAACTACTCTAACGCTTACTTTTATTAATAATATTAATAATAATAATCTTAAATATTTAATTTTTTTTTTTTCATTATTTTAATTAATCCCGAATCCTGATTCTTTAAAGCCTATAAAGGATTTTATCCATCCATAAGACGTGAGAGAGAAGCTTAAAACATTTTATTATTATTATTATTATTATCATTATTATTTTTAGAAAATTAAATTTAACGAAAAAAAAAAAAATCATGTTTCGCAAAATCATTTTTGACAACCAAAAAAAGAAAAAAAAAATTTTATTAATTTTTTATTACTTTCGTTTTTTAACCTCGCCCCCTCCCCCCCTCCGCCTCTCGAAATTCAAAGAAATGAAAAATATTATTATTATTATTATTATTTTAGAAAAAGGTAAAAAATTATTTTTGTACGTGTGTGTGTGTGTGTGTGTATGTTTTTCAAATCAAAGTCGAATAATATTTTCATTTTGAAAAAAAAAAAAAATTACGTATGAAAAATTATTTTTTTTTACCTGTTTTCCTGAGGGGATTTAAATAATAATAATAATAATAATAATAATAATAATTACGTAATACCCCAAGAGAATTTTATTGTTCCCACACAAACACACAATTCATTTGATGGGGGGAAAAGTTTTTTGCGTGGGCTTTCATAAAAATTTATTTATATACACACACATACTTATTATTAATAATAAATTTAATTTTTCGTACGAATTTATTATTATTATTATTATCATGAACGTCAAAACGGAAAAAATATAATTTAAAAAAAGAGAGAGAGAGAAAGAGAGAAATACTTATTTAAGTTTATATTAAACTAATCTTTATTGAATTTTTTTTTTCTTGACAGGAAATAGAAATCATCAATTACCTCCCAAAAAAAAAAATAATTGGAATTTTCAAAATGAACATCATATTACTCATTTCGATGAGGGGGGGGGGAATCGTTTTTCAATTTACCACCGCAAAATCTTTTTTATGATATAATAATTAGCGCAAAAAGTAAAATAAAGATATAATAATTTTAATAATATATTTTAAAAACTAGAAAATTTTCCTCATTATTTCATCATCATCATCATCATCATTTACAAAAACAAAAATTGTTGTGACGTAAATTTTATTTTCATTCATCTTACTATTATTATTAAAACTTAAAAAACTTTTACTTTAATTTTTCTAATCAATATTTGAAACAATAATTAAATAATTAATTAATTAAATTGAAAATCAAACTTTATACCTTCTAAGATATTTTAACCATTACCCATCATAATTTTGTTTTTATAAAAAAATCATAGAGTAAAAACAAACAAATTTTTTTTTTAATTTTAATTTTTCCTCCTTAAAAGAAATTTCAAAATTTGTTTCTAACGGTCATTTTTTTTCGCTATTATTCC